TCATCTGCCAATGAAGATATGAAGAACTGAGCTTTATAGTGCTCATTGGACAGATCTTGATTATGTGTAACTTGGTTTTGAGCGATAATCTAAGGATTTGGATGGATTTCCACTAGTTTTGAGCGATAATGTATGCTCATCGCTCAAAGCTTGTCCGAAGAACATGTTCATCTTCCAAGTCATTCGTGTTAATGTTTGTATCCGCTCACTATGTTGTCTGATAAGAGCTCTCATCGCTCAACTCACCAAGCGATGAAGTGGTAAGCGATAATCTTTTCACAACCTTGTTATCTTGTGCGATATAGTGTTGTCCGGAGAGCCTTTTTATCACTTAAAATCTCAAGCGATGAACCCTATTTTTATGCAATGATGTTGAAAGATAATGTTTGGAAGATTGATGAATCCGCTTAAAGTTATGAACTATAATCTCATTCATCGCCCAAGAAGTGAGCGATGCTCATCTCTCAAGGCATGAGTGATAAGGGTGGTTCTTGTGCTTATCCGTCTAAGGCATGGGCGATGAGCAATCTTTCCTATGCTCATTGCTCATCATAAGAGTACTTGTCCGTAGTGACTCTTGTGCTTAATCGTGTGCTTATTGAATATCTTTGCCCTATTTTCATGAGCTTAATGATTAAGGAGATGTTTTATCAAATTTTTGCCCTTAAGAGCATCATAAAACAATTTGGTCAACATTGACTTTTAAAGTCAAAGTTTGACTTTTTGGTCAACCAATTTGTGATTTGAAGTCTAAAGCCAGATTTGAAAAGCTTCAGAATAGTTTGATTGGTTTTAGTATTTTATTGGACTAGCTACAGTTTGAGAATCTGCAATCACTTTTTTGGAGTTTTCTTCAAGAAACAAGACTATTGAGTGCCTTCACTCATTTCTTTTGACCTGACCAATCAGAGGTCTTGAAGGTTTGCAATCAGTGTTCTGGAAGTTCTGGAAGTTATAAGATTTTTGAGTGTTCTCAGTCATTCTTCTAACTTGATCAATTAGAGGTTTGATAGTCTACAATCATTGTTCTGATGCTATGGTTGTGATCTAAGAGTTTTGAGGGCTTATCATCATTCTTCTGACTGAGAATTTTTGGATATGATTTTGGTTATTCTGTTATCTGAAAATTAAAGGAAATCGACTTATCTATCTGGGTTGACTTGATATTCTTAAAGCTATGTGCTTATTGTTGATTCTTCTCTCCGGATTACAATGTCAAAGGTGTTTGCTTTGGTTCTTCAAGTAAATGTTGATTACCCATTGTGAGCTTATCAAGATCAAGTTCTTAAGCTGAATGCATATTCAACTCGTGGTTCATTGGAAGATTCTTTGTCTTTAGACTGTTTGCACTGGAATGTCACGAGGCTCACACATTTATCTATCCCATAGTTGGATGAATCTATAGCTAACAGATTCGCGATGATTATGCGGTTCAAGGTTGTGTTGAGTCGTCTGCAGTTTAGCTGTACTTTGTGCAAATGGTGGTGCTTAATTTACATTGGATCTTATCTTAAAGTTGAAATTTAAAGAGTAAGAGCTATCTTCCGGGGGGAGGGGGGGAGCTTAAAGATTTTATCAAATGTCGGACACACCAAAGTTTTCTTAAAGAAAGCAGAGAGGGAGAATACTTGAAGCTTTCAAGAGATGTTTGCTTTATAAAAATGTGGACATGAATTGTTCTTGAATTGCCATTGAAACTGGGATTCACATATTTGTACCTATAATTCGTAAGAATTTGGTGAGTGGTGGTTGTTTGAATAACATTGGATATAAACAAGTTTTTGAATAGGATAGGTATATCTTATCTCGTTATGGTAGTGTTGTTGGTTTTGGTTACTTTTATGGTAAAATGTCTCGTTTGAATGTGGTGAGTAATTTTTTAAATTCTGAAAATTCTGCATTTTTATCATCATCTTCTTCTAAAATTGACTCGATGACTTGGCACGCAAGATTGGGTCATGTAAATTTTAGAAGAATGCATGAAATGTCAAAAAGGATGGATTAATTCCAGTCGTCGATATTTCTGTAGAAAAAAGTAAGACTTGCATGCTTACGAAAGTTACAAAGCAACCATTTCCAAACATTGAAAGAAAATCGATTGTTTTGGAACTTGTACACAGTGATCTGTGTGATTTTCACTCTACTCCTTGTTTGGGAAATAAGAGGTATGTTGTCACATTTATTGATGACAACACTCGGTTTTGCTACGTCTATCTTTTGCATGCCAAAGACGAACCGTTTGATAAATTTAAAATTTATAAAACCGAGGTTGAATTACAACTGGGTAATTCGATTAAGTGTCACAAAATTAATCGGGGAGAGGAATATATGGATCCCCAATTCTTCCAATCAGTTGTTATTATTCATCATATCTACAAGAGTTTATAGGTAACCATTTGTAGAAGGGGGGAGGATGAATACAAACACAACATCTTTCACTTTTAAAAATTATATATTGATAAAGAAGATCAATACAAATTTTACCAAATTGTTTGTGGAAGAGATAGGATACAGAACCTATCTAAACAATCTAAGATACACACATAATTATAGATAGCAATAAGAAAAGGCTTACTACAAGAAATAAGATAAGAAGTAATGTGCTCTTCACTAGTTAAAGTGGATCTTTCTCTTAGACAGAGAGTAGAGAGAAAAGTATCCTCTTAGGTAAGATTAGAGAAGGAGAGCGATAAATGAGAAGAGAACTACTCAGCTATTTATACCTATTTGCATTAAATGCAATTCAGAAGGTACAAAGCATATAGCAAGCTTTTAGAGGAAAACTTGTCCTTTGTTGCAGTATACAGTCTATTTGGATGTATATGAACAGTCCTCTTTTATAAAGTAGGTAAGCACGTTTGGAGACAGAGGAGTGACTATATACTGTACTTTACTTAGAAATGCATGGGTTTTTCCTTTGTGTGAAGAAGGACAAGACAAAACTATCTTGCTCGATAAGTTTCATTTGATCGTTGAACAATGTAATGGCGCTGAAGGTCTCATCAGTGTTCGCTGATTCTTGTGCAGGTTTCGCACTTGTGTAGATGAGCTTGTTATCACTAAAAACCGCTTTTGATCATGAACTTGCTGGTCTCTAATCTTCAGCTTCTGTCTTCAACATCGTTGAATAATTTATGGTGTGAGTTTTGTCTTCTTGAAGGATACTGGTCTTTGAACGAATTACAATACATGTTCAGTAATCACTGAACAAAATTAATGATGATAGTTGAAACTGAATACAAAGATAATACATTTCGAAAGGTAAAAAGGATCATCATCAAATCACTGAGAGAGAGGGTCAACAATCTCCCCCTATTTGATGATGACAAAGCAACATAAAGAAAATTACTTTATGTTACATCAGCAAGGAAATGGTACTAGTAAAATACTTGTCCCTTTTAACTATTTTGGGATCATTTTTATTGATACAGTTTACTATGTAAATTTACTTAAGTTGTATAGGATTACAAGGTAAGAATAAATTTTCACAATATTGATAACTGAAACTGAAAGCTTATTCATTGACTAGAAAGGTGTCAGTGAATGAAAGACATAAATTGAACTCTTAAGTACATGTCCTATTTACTCTTTTCAGGGATCTTTTTCAGTGAACTGATAATTTCATTGAATATTTTTCAAGAGAAAATATTACAAAGTATTACAATCAGCATTGGTAGACCTAATGCATAAAGGTTATACACTAAAAGTAAAGCAAAGAAAATAAGATTATAGGACTGAAAGGACATGTAATCTAAGTTGTTGAAGTTGACGTACTCAGGTACATCTTCTCCAAGCTTCTTGCGTCTGAGATACTCCTTTCTGATCTTGCGCTCCATCATATCTCCAAATAAATCATTATTTAGCCAAGTCTTTATATATTCTAAGTGATCTATAGGGCAGAGATGGAACTTGGATACTCGCTAAAACCTGTATTCATAGTCATAGTCTATGAACATAAGTCCATACTCAGGTTTCACGTGCACTGTGTTGGGTATGTAAGGACCCTTCTCAGGCATTGATAAGTTAAACATTGAGAGATCCGATTTCTTTTGATCCTTCAAAAGTTCATCCATAGAGAGTTTTGTCTCGTTCTCGTTCTTGTGGGATGGACCATCTTTAGATTCTGAAAGGTGTTTTCTTCGAGAGGGCGACTCCTTTAGCAGAGGAGGGAATTCGATGATCTTGGACACCTTCTTGAATAATTCATTTAGGATATCTTCAATCATAGGCTTATGCTTGGATTGGGATCTCTAAATAGCCTGTCGAATCTCCAACCACTCGTAGAAGCCATACTGGCCAAGGTATGAAGGATACTCCATGACATCATCTTGATTCTCTCGTAAAATGACCATTTCAGACTAGGAGGCCACCATCCTTCATTCGTCCCCTGATGGTGACATTTGAGATCTTGTAGGACATATCCTTTTCTCGATCCTTTCTTTGCACCATTTCAGATCTCGATCTTTCAGTTTCAACACCCGTTGATGTTCTCGTGCAACTTCTGATAATAGCTAGGACTGATCTTTGAGATGATCTTTCTTCTTGAGCTTCCCTTTAGCTAGATCTTGGGCAACTAGAGTCTTGGCTAACTCTAGATTGTCCTTCAGTTGTTGTCGATGTAGCTTTAGCTCTTCTTCAACTTTCAGGGACTCTTCTCGTTCAATGTTTGTGAGGAAATTGAACTCACCATAACCAGAGGTATAAAGAGGAATTTTTACTCACCATTGTCAAGCTGATTTATCAACTGAATCCTCCTCTGGTCTTCATCAGCTTCTAAACAATTCGGTTGTCTAGGAGACTCCCTGAGTGTTGGAATTTCTGCTTCACCTTCTTATGTGCTTTGACAAGATGTGAGGTGTGTTGATGGACCAACAGGGTTTGTGGTGTAGAGAGAATTGGAGTAGGGTGTTCAACATCTGAGGAAGGAGATAAATACCTGGAGGAGTTTGCATCTTTAGATTTGCTGGTAGCCCTTAGAACAATCATGAGATTGTCTTCAGTCATTCCTTTGCTCTTGTCCTTGGAGTGCTGGTTCCCTGAAGTTGAATGTCTTTCCCCTCCTGAGAAGATGGTTCCTGGATGGATATTCCCTTTAGTGCTAGTTCTCTTGGGATGCCTTGGATGCAAAAGTCATCATCGTCGTCATCATCTTCATCATCATCGCTAAGATCATTGCCGACGTCAGGGAGTTGAGGTTCAGTGTCCTCATCTTCATCATCGTCTTCATCATCATCCTCATCACCATCATTTGGAAATGCATAGGTTGAGGGATGGTCTTCATGATCAGCAGGAGCGATCACAACATCATCATCTTCTTCAGTGGTGATGGCATCCTCAGCGGCAGTGATGAGAGCACCTACATGAGGGATGATAGCAACATCAGCTTCATCAGCAGTCTTCTCTTCAATAGCAATTTTCTCTTCCTTTTTATTTTTCCCCCTCTTTGTCATCATCAATACTAGAGGTGAGGTTATTAAGATGAGTTGAAAGGACTTCTAAATTATGCTCTAGAGAGGAAAGAGCTTCAGCCTGGAGAATATTGAATGTAGTGACCCAATCCAGCTGTTGATGGTCTGACTCGCTGAAAGCAGGTTTCAGGACTGGGGCTGGTTGATGCAGGAGTTGGAAGATTTGCTGAAGCAGCTCACCATGTCTGGTGAGCTGAGCCTAGACTTGGTCAACTTTGCTGGATAGAACAACTACACCTTCAACCTGGGCTTGGACTTCTGTCTTCACCGTGTTTAGCATCTCCTTGACTTATCGATGCGGACCTCTCAGCTGTCAAAGCTGAAGTTCAAGAAGTTAAGAGTCAGCTCTCAATTCTTTAAGAAGCTATTCGAGATAGTGTTGAAGCCATCGTTGCTCTCTCCAACAAGGCTGATGAAGCTCAAGCTCAATCTCTCCAGTAGACGGAGCTTCTCCAACAGGTCCTGGATGCTGTTCGCCAACCAGCACCAGTGATCCCTCCATCTTTCAGTGCTGATGACCACACTCAGTTCAATGAGACGTGTGAAGCAACGACTAACCTAGCTAGCACTTTGTCGCAGCTAGAGGAGATGATAGTTCTCCATCATCAACGCATGGACGAACTCTCTGGCCTATGCTCTCAAGCCTTAGCCAGAGAGGTGGAGATAAGGTCTAACGCTGCTGGACCATCTGATGCTCCAGCAATCCATGACGCTGAAGCTGAAGCTCCTAGAACTGAAGCTGAAGTTGAGATTGCCCATGTTATCCCAACCTCCGGTGAAACTGCTATAGCTGAGGAAGTTGATGCCGTCCCTCGTGATGACGACCTTCCCATCACCTTTGCACCTGTTGCTGGTGATGTGGAAGAAGAAGTTGATGATGAAGAAGACGATAAATGTGATGAACCTGATCTTCCAGACTCCGATAGTGACCTCGATGGCAATAACGATGATGATGATGAAGATGACTTCACCATCCAGTTCCAGTGTCCAACAACCGCCACCAAAGGAGTCGCCCTGAGAGATTCCACATCCCAGGGGGAACAAAGGGAAGAAGAGTCTGCTCCTTCAAAGAACCAGGACCCTAAGTCGAAAGGCAAAGGTGTCGCTGAAGAAGGGAACCTGAAGATATTATTTAAAAACCCTCAACCCTTATATGAAAGTTCTACCTCTCAGGTAGTCGTTACTTCATTATATCAACTCCAAATCCCTTCTACTACATGCAGTTGACTGGAATGGGTCCTTGAGAACCCTGTCTCCAGTGCTCCTACCGACCAGCAGATGACTCAACTTAAGGAGTCACTCGACCAGACTAGAGTAAAAATCCCTCTTCGTACCTATAGTGGTGGTGACTTTGACTTCCTGTCTGAAGCTGAAAGACTCGAGGCATTAAGAGCTGAAGAAGAGTTAGAGCTTCAGAAGAAGCAAACCGAGGACAACCTAAAGCTGGCCAAGTCACTAGCTGAAAAAGTTCTTCCAAAAAGAAAGTCTAAAAAGAAGGTGAACGCTGTCCAAGCCCAAGCTATGTTACTCTCTCTTGCCGAAGCTGGGCATGAGAAAAATCTGAAGCTGGCTGAGCGGGATAAGTGCTGGAGCGAAGCAAAGCTGAAAAAAAGAATCAGTCCTCACCCGATCAAGAGTGTCAACATCAGTGGATGATCCAAAGACGATGGAACTCTTCTCTCATTGCTCATCACCATAGACAATCTCGATGCCCTAACCGAGTACCCTTCCTACCTTGGCTAATATGGATACAACGAATGACTGGAGATCTGACAAGCCATTCAGCGCTCCAAGTCCAGCATAAGCCGATCATCGAAGACATCATCAACGATCTTATCAAAAGGATGTCCAAGTATGTAGCAGTCCCTGATAGGCCATTTCTGAAAAAAGGAGGAAGAAAGAAAAGACCCTCTAGTCCTAGTGATGGACCATCCCTAAGGAACAAACATGAAACAAAGTTCTCCTTAGATGAAGTCCTGAAGGATCGTGAGAGTCCAGACATCTCTATGCTGAATCTTGATCTGCCAGCGAAGGGTCCTTATACACCTAACTCTGTGCACTTCAAACCTGAGTTAGGAGTTATATTTCTTGACTATGAAGGTGAAGTAAGATTTCAGAGAATGTCCGAGTTACGTCTATTCCCGACGGAACACCTGGTCTATCTTATGTTCTTGCTAGATGATGACTTGCAAGGAAAAGTTGTGGACCGAAGGATACGAAGAGAATTTCTACGTCGAAAKAAGCTTGGAGAAGATGTACCTGGTTACATTAATCTAGACAACTTAGACTAGTTTATTTTCTTTGTAATATTGTCCATGTATTGTAATCTACTTACTATGTCTACTTTCAATGATTAATCTTATATTATGTAAGTTTTAGACATGTACTGAACATCTTTTAATATTTCCATTGAAATAATATAAGTATTTCTGTGCATCACTGAGAAAGATCCCTGAAAAAGGTAATACGGACACAAGTCTATGAGTTCCAGTGTTACTTTTCACATTCATTGACAATCTATAAGTCAGTGAATAAGCTTTCAGTTTCAGTTTCCCTTCTTTTAACCTTTCTTAAATGTAACTTAAGAAAATTCTCCAAGTAAAGACTGACTCACTGAAAAAGATCCCTAAATAGTTAAAAGGGACATATACTTTATATGTTACTTTTCCTTACTATTATTTGATAAGACAACTTTCTTTACGTTTTCTTGTTATCATCAAATAAGGGGAGATTGTTGATCTTCTCTCTCATTGATTTGTTGATAATCCCTTTTTACCTTACACGAAGTATTTATGTTTCTATTTTCAGTTCCAGCGATCATCACTGAGTTTGTTCAGTGATCGCTGAAGAACTTGTAATGTAAATCCAATCAGCGACAACGATACTTCAAGAAGACAAAACTCACACCAAAGAACTGAAAACCTGGTCTACATATGTGTGAAGATTGCCCAAGCCTCAGCGAATGCTGAAGAGACCTTCAGGTTATTCCGGCATTCAGCGATCAAAAGAAGCTTGTTGAGCACAATTGTTTTTGTCTTGTCCTCATACACACAAAGGACAACCCCATACCCTTTCTATAAGGTGGTACGATACAGAGCCAATTAGTTGACTCTATTACCCACCAACTTTGTGAAACGATGTCTGCTCATGAATAGGCTTTTGTACTATTCACTGTAGCAAATGACAAGCCTTCCTCTTAAGGCTTGACACGCGTTCTAACCCTTCCATGTTGTATTAAATGTGTATTTAATGCAATAAGTATAAATAAATGTGTTTTATCTCCAAGCAGAGATACTCCTTACCTCTACCCTAACTTACTTACGCTTAAGTAAAAGAACACACACATCTAAGAACAAATACGCTCATCTTCAAGAGCTAGTTAGAATCTCTTTGTTGTATTCTAAACAGTTATTTCCCAGATAGAACTTACTTTCCTCTAAGTCTTTAACGGCAAATCTTTTCTTTATTTGCTAAGAATTAGTGTGTAACTTTAGATTGTTTAGATAGGTTTATATACCTTATCTTTGCGCAAACAATATTGTAAAATCTGCATTGATCATTCTTTATCAATATATATTATAAATTTGAAATTTTTTCTGTGTTTGTATTCATCCCCCCCTTCTACAAACTATTGTACACATCATGTAGACCCTAAGGGGACCAACAATGTCTGAATGAGTACAACAGTTTTCAAGCTCTCCCAGATGAGTCTCTCGAGCAGACTTATCACCGTTTCAACACCCTGATCAACAATGTAGGAAGTGTGATGTGATCAGGACACAAGAGGAAAGCAACATGCTCTTCTTGAAGAGGTTGAATGCTGAATGGGAGAACTTGTCCATGTCCCTCCAGGCGAATCAAGACCTAGAACAGTGGAGTCTTCATGATGTGTATGGCACCTTGCAATTACAGGAACAAGAGGTGCAGAAGGCTAAGGTCGCTTTGGGTGGACTTCTGGCTCTAGTCTCTGACTCTAAAGAGACTGGGTCAAGTAAACCACTCAAAGAACGAAGATCGAAGGAGGAGAGAAGAAGAGAGAAGAAGGCTCTTGTTGTAGAGAGCGACGATGAAGACATAGCTTCAAGCTCTGAGGATGATAACATAAGTGCGTTCGCACATTCCTTGACTCTAATTACCAAGGAATTTCAAAGAAAGTTTGGAAAGAAGATCTTCCAAAAGAGAGGAAGTCGAAGTGATAAGGGAAGAAGCAGAGGATTCGAAGGAAGGAACCCTTCTTCCTTACAAAACAAGAAGGAGGAAGAATAGTCAGAGCAAAAGAAGCATGCTGTAAGATGCTTCAGATGTGGTAAGATGGGCCACTACTCCAAGGAGTGCAAAGGCGCTTTGGTGAAAGATGAATTGTACTACAAGAATAAGTACAAGTACAATCTATCCTAGAGGAGACTCATGGCCGAGCAAGAAACTGGGTCTCTGACTCCACGTCTGAAGAAGAAGACCAAACTCACTTCTGTGGCATGGCTGTTGAGAATGATGCATAAGAGTTTGGATCTGGCTCCAACTTTTAGGTATGTTCTACCTCTGGTTATTCTCATTCCGATCTGGAAGAAAGTATCTCTGCTTTAACCCACAATTTTCTAAAACTATAGCAAAAACTCTCTGTTGAAAATTCAAAAAGAAAATTTTAGAAAATGAAAAATCGTTCTTTGAACGAGAAACAGAGTTGTTATCTGTAGAAAAACAAGAGCTTTCACTGGAAAAAGAAAAACTTTTAGAAATAAAATGTTCCAATGAAAATCGTCTTAAATCAGAGTGCTCTGAACTAAAAGCGGGCATACAAAAAAAGGATAAAGAAGTTTTAGAGAAAGAACGTGATAGGTTAAATTCTAAAGCCTTGAAAAATTATTTTCAAAAGTAAAGGGAATTCATACACCAGAGCATGCAAAGAAAAGAGCTTTTGATTAAAAAGTATCAAGATACTTAGCAGGTGTATGAAAAGATAAATTCTCAACAGGATATAGCAG